CCCCCCCCCCCCCTGCTCTGACTATAATGGCCAGACCACTTGCAAAATGATTCATATCTATCAAAATACAATAAATTTATTTAAAGAAAACTCGTATACAATTTAAAATTACTCCCTATATTTAATTTGCTACAAGGATACACACTTAATAAAACTTAAAAAGTTAACAAAAATATAACATGGTGAAGTAAAACTTCATTCCAGATTAATTTATTAGCAATCAAAAAAGATTAATTTCCATCCCCTACCCCATCCTTTAACTTTATGGTACTAATACAAATACTTACATCTGTGAAAGGCTGGAAAATGAGTCCATCAGTTTCATGCCCTAGAGTACTTGCATGTGAAAAATTATCACCTTCCAATATCTAAGAAAAAATACAGTGAAACAGTTTCAATGATTATCACAAGCATATCAATGGCTACTTTTTCCTATTATATTTTTTTAATGAATAAACTCTGATAACCCCAGTCAACTTGGTTAAAACATATTAAAGAATCAATGTGAGTCATTCTTTGATTTATTACAAGCATGTTATTGGCTATTATATTATACCATATACATAGATTCTAGGCATCTGATTGGTTAAGAAGTGGGCAATACCTTCATGGTGGGGCTGAGGTGGTATAGATCCTCCATCTGTGAAAGCCCCTCCCCGGGACCCCTCTATTTATAATTCCTGGATCCGTCACTGATGTTGCTATGTAATTTATGACAAGCATAGATGGTAAAGGGGACGCGACCACTACAATGCTGAGAGAAATTGGTCCTTGATCGCATAGCCCTAGGAAGTAAGTCTAGGCCTACTTGACGTGTACTCTTTTCATTACATTTTTAGGTCTCGTAGAATATATGTATGAGGTATGTAAAACAAATATTGACTGCTCTAGATTCGGGGAGATGTGGAGACCGTAGCCTATCTTCCCTTGGACTTTGGGCCTCGGGAAGATAGGCTACGGTCTCCACATTGCCTCAGGGCCGAAGATTTCACCATACCCCTCATGAGCAGTCAATATTTTTATAATAATTAACTGTAGTTCATAGGACTATTTAAGAGTTTCCTGAATTGACAGAAAAGCTAACAAATAAGATAGTATAATACATACTCCAAGTATCAAACTGCATGCCATCGTGTCGGGATTCAATATTTGGACAATAATTATGTCATCATCAGGAATGAAAAATTATCCATATTTGCAAGCTTATATGCACAGCACTAATAGTGTTTAACCAATCAAAACATTACCTCTAGTAGGTGACATAGCTAGGACACCTACTAAAGATAATTTTTTGATTGGTTAAACACTTTTGGTACTTGTGCATATAAGCTTGCAAATATGGATAATTTTTCATTCCTGATGATGACGTAATTAATGTCAAAATATTGAATCTCGACATGATGGCGTGCATTTTGATACTTGGGGTATGTATTATACTATCTCATCAAAGAATAATCAGTGGACCTTTCAGTTTTTTCTAACAAATTAGAGTAGATGCGGCCATTACATTTTTTGATTATTGCTCAATTATTTTCGGCAATTTTAAAAAATTAAATTGCGCATTTAACATGATATTATAAGTTATTACCCTCCAATGAAAAACATATCAAAACAAAAAATTGTAACCAATTTTACAACCTTTTAGTACAAACCCCCAACTTTTCACTTGAATGCTATTAATAACCGTCTTAAACATATGTACAGTAGTATGTAATGTATAGATTTATATAGTGCTGCATATAGAAATCGCAAAGTGCTTGAGGTATGGACAGCTTGCACACTACTGTAGGTTGCGGCACCCCAACCTTAACCCATAGAGATAATATAATATCTCTATGCTTAAAACACTCAGCCATTTGACTCGCCTCAGCAACTCAAATATTTTAATTGTTTAACATGTTAACAAAATACTTTACAGGCAGTAGTAGTAGTTCATATCAACCAATACTCTTTCTGGCTAATACTAAGTTAAAATGTCAAAATTATGTAAACCTTTCTGGCAGCTGCTAGATCCCAAAAAGGTTTCGCCCGTATACTAAATGGTTCATTTGTGCGATCAAGCTGTCCACTTTCAATGTGCTGCTTTCGAACTTGGATGATTTCCTTATCAATGCATAACAGCCTTCGACCAAAATCACAATCTCCAACTGGCTGGCCCTATAGGAAAATCAAATAGTAGAGCGGCTAAGGTTGAATTTCAGGTAGAATCGTGCACTTCTGGAAGAAAGCATGAAACTTCCCACAGTGATACTATGACACCTAAAGATCATTAAAAAAAGTATACCCCAAAAAATAACGCCTCCTAATGGCCACCATCTTGAAATCCAATATGGCCGCCAAAATATTTGATTTTAGCCAATATATTCATATCTACAGCACATGTCATTGCCAATTGAAGATCATTACCCATGTTTTCAATATCAGGGAGTGTCATGCAATCATCAGAAATTATGTCAGATGGCGCCGCCATATTGGATTTCAAGATGGCCGCCAAATTAATGATATTTTTGTCAATATTCATATCTACAGTACCTAGCACTGTCTATCAAAGACCGTTGCCCATGTTTTCGATAAAGGGACTACAATGCAGCCATCAGAAATTATGTCAGAAGACCACCATATTAAATTTCAAAATGGCCGCCATCTTGAAATTTAATATGGCCGCCAAAATAATTAATTTTAGCCTATGTATTCATATTTACAGCACATATCACTCCAACTGAAGATCATTACCCATGTTTTCAATATCAGGTAGTGTCATGCAATCATCAGAAATTATGTCAGATGGCGCCGCCATATTGGATTTCAAGATGGCCGCCAAATTATTGCTATTTTTGTCAATATCTTATCTACAGCACCTAGCACTGTCAATCAAAGACCGTTACCCATGTTTTTGATATCAAGGACTATCATGCAGCCATCAGAAATTACAGTATGTCAGAATGCCACCATTGAATTTAAAGATTGCTGCCATACTATTTCAAGATGGCCGCCAAGTTAATTATTGATAATGTTGTAAATATCGTCATATCTACAACACCTAGCACTGTCAAAGATCACTACTCGTGTTTTCGATATCCGGGGGTATCATGCAGATATCAGAAATTATGTCAGAAGGCCGCCATATTGAATTTCAAGATGGCTGCCATATAGGATATCAAGATGGCGGCCAAAATTTTTTTTTCATATTTACATATGTAAACTACCAGCACTGTGAATCAAGATTGTGTATATGTATAATTAGGGATATCATCAAACATCTCATAATGATAGTGAGACGTGCCTATGGCAGTGAAGTAACACCAGAAAGAAGACCGACAACTACCACGTTGGATTTCAGGATGATTGCCAATTAAGAAATGTACATGAAAGAAATGGAAATTAAAAAAAATAATAGAAAACTGTTAAGGAATAACAAATTGGTAATCAATCGAAAGTAATGAAAATAAAAAAAAATAAGTAAATAACTGCTTTGTATGGTATGAGAGCAAGTGCAGAGGGAGAGAGATAGATGCAGATATTAAACATCATTTATATTAAAGCTAGTTTTAACATGAAATTATATAAACATAAATCAAATATTCAAATTAATGGTGTGAAGACACTAATATCGAATAGACTTCATGTCTATGAGATGGCTAATTATCATTTTCAAATGATATATAAACATATGTAAATATTGAAAGGGAAAGAAACGGAAAAGAAATTTAAAGGAAGGAAAAGAAAGAACGGAAAGTAAAAACTGGAAAGGGAAAAGAAATAAAAAGAATAGAAAATGAATATAATGGAGAAATTGAAAAGAAACATCAAGAAAAATTAAGAAAAGTATATAGGCCTAGATAACTTTAGCATAAATGAAATTATGTAGACAAATTAAATATCACATTCAAGTAATGGTATGAAGACAATAATATTGAATAGACTTCTAAATATCATTTTCAAATAAATAAATATATATATATATAATTAATTTTTGTGTGTAGCACTCTGTTTATATAATTAAATAATGGTGAAAACAGAGCTTGAATAAATGAAAAGTGATGCGATTATCGTATCGGGAATAGCCTATCAAACAAAAAAAGTTTCTTATCAACTGTTTGAAAATGTGCCCCTGGCGGCGGGAATTAAAATGTGATTTCTTGCTGTCGAGGTGAGTGCCATACATATTTACCATTAGGGGCCCCTGGTATATCGCAGATACAACCCAACCAGGACGCTTCTTCAAACAAATGATATACTGTTGCCAGAGAATACTCTAAAAGTCATACCTGTATTATAATGAAGTAACATATAGAATCAATGTTGCTGTGTAGCATTGTGGTATAACCTATCAAAGAAAAAGTTCTTTATCAACTGTATGAAAAAGACAAAAGTGCCCCCAGTGAAAAATTAAACCATGCATCAGTTGTTTGAAAATGTGTCCTAGCTGGATTTATCAGGAAACGAATATTTTATATATACTGAATTCTTTTTATATCCATATTTGTTAAAAATTTAGAATAGGCAGTATAATGTGCCTAAAGGCAGGGTGTCTTATTGTCTCATTGTTACAAATATTGCTTTATATATGCATGGAGTAAAGAATATTCTTTACTCCATGATGTATGACATCTTTTGTGTAATTTACAACAGCTATAATACTTAGGGGCTTACATGCTGGCAATAAAGTTCACCTTCATTGCAAGTTGTATGTGCTGGACTGACTCAAT